TTTTTTTTATTATTTATGCTGCTGTGTTATTTCACAAAAGAAAGATGAAATTGTTTTCGTCCTTTTTGCTCCTTGTTGTAAAACAGTGTTTTTGTTTTGTTGTTTTTCCTGTCTGATCGTTTCCTCTCTGAAGCAAGCCAGTGGACAGCGAGGATCAATCGATCTTTATACCAAATAAAAGCTGCGGTGACGGCTTCCGGCTGCGGGAGGGCGTCCACTTCCACATGTACGTCAGCTCGTCGCCGTGTGGAGACGCTCGACTCAACTGCCCCTACGAGACCACAGCTGCATGTGAGAGGAGCACATTTAGATTGTTTAAGTAAAGCCTCTGTGCATCATTTGCAAAGCTTCTGACCACATCTTCTAAATACTCCCACGTTACACCCCTGCTGATCCAGTTGCACAGGCTCCCCATAAAATTCAGAATCCACTTTAAGATTTTGACTTTGACATTCAGGGCTCTGCATGGACAAGCACCAACCTATGTCAGAGATCCTTTACATCAGTACATCCCCAGCAGGTCCCTGAGGTCATGTGATCAGGGCTTCCTGGTCATCCAACATACAAGGCTGAAATCAAAAAAATCATTGGTTTCATTTAAAAAACAGCTAAAAACCATCTTTTTAAACTTGCTTTTGGTTGATTTCTGTTTTTATGTTTTTATGTTGTGTGATTTCTGTCTTGAAAGGTGCTATACAAATAAAATTTTACTTACTTATGATTTTTATTATCATGATGATCCTACAGGAGCCCATTAAAGGTCCATTAAATCAATTTAAAAAGTGGAAAAACATGAAAATCATCTGGATGCTGATTCTGTTGCTGTTATCAGATCTAAAGCATCCAGATGCGGGCTTCAGGAGACAGAAATGATGAACAAAAACTAGAAGAAAACTGAAAACACTTCAAAAGTCTCAAGCATAAAAGATCAAGGCTGAAAAACAACAGCACAGGGAAAATACAGGGAGTGGATAATTAGGAATAAAATGCCATATGAACCAGAACTGCAGGCTGAAGTGACAGCTGAACGAGCCCAGGTACACAAACAGATCGTGTTAACAGGTGGGAACAAACAGCCAAGATCAAACAAGAAAGGTGGAAGCAGTGCGAGCAGGGCGCACAATCAAACAGAGGGAAACAGGATGTTATGGTCCTAATCAGCTTACCCAGCATCCAAGTTTTGTTTTTCTAATTTCCTTTGAGATGCTTGATTTACTTCACACTTATATTGCTGAGTATTTTGTCCTATTTAGTATACGTAGTTCTGATCCTGATTACTAGCTATTTTCTAGCAGTCTCTTACATTAAATTGTGTCAGTGCTTTCCCGGTTTAGTTTTGCTTCCTGTGTCTCATCTTCTCTGATTCAGTTCAGCTGTGTGTTGTTTTCCCAGCTCTCTCCACTCTACTGTCATTGGCTGTATCCCAATTCAGGG